CGGGCTGAAAATGAGCGGAAAATGAAGAAGAAGGCGAGGAAACGTGCTTCCTTAGGGAATGACCTGTTTATATCTGTGCAGGAAGGTCGTGACCGTATTCAGCAGCTTAATGAGCAGGTTGATGAGCCTATACCCATGCCTCGCCAACGAGCTCCACCACGCTGCAGTGGATGTTGGACTATTGGACATACTATAAGAAATTGTCCTAATAAATAGCTGTTATTTTATCCTTTAAAAAAGTCTTCTTCAATGATGTTAGTGGTTGAAAGGTTTCAAAATATCTTGGGAGCGGCGAAAATTCGCGGTTCGGTGGTATCCGCGGTTCGGTGGTTGATTACGTTATAAAATTCTAGATTAGTCACCAGGAAGGCGGTCGACCTAGGGGGGTTGGGGTAAGGTCGAAAATTTTTGATGGGGTGTGCCAAGACCACTATCTGCGGGAGGTCTATACCTCTTTAGGCCACCACCTAGTATGTATATGGTATATCGGTGCCTGAGGTGTCTAGTAGCCTAGTAGTGCCTTAGAATTCAGGCAGAAAATAAGAGTGAAATGATTCTTAGTATTTTTATAGGGGTCTAGTAGTAGATGACTAATGGTAATTATTTTTAGTCATCAGATTTGCTTCGCACGCCTTAGGCGACCCCTACCCAGCCAGCACTCAGCAGGCTGGGGGTTCGGGGGGCGCCTAGCCCCCTGGTATATATGTCAGAGCTGGTGGGTCAAGCCTACTAGCTAAGCAGCATGCGAACCGGAAACGATGGATCGTACGGTCTATCCAGCAAGGATAGCAGCAAAATGAGCGATATATTTTGATACTAAATATATGATCTCTCACGTCTTCTAATCTATCCAAGGAGTGTATTTAAGTTAATGGGAGGGAAGATATCTAGAAGATTCTTGCCCAGCAAATTCCTGATTGGGCATAGTGAGATAGTCCTCCGTATCGGATGGTAAACGAATGACTGTACGCTTACGGGAATGATACCGTTTGTGATACCGTTAGTTCTGACAATATATATATCAAAGGAGATGTGGGACTTTACCACCGATAAAATTACACAATACCCATAATTGTCTCGCCCCTGATATTTTGTCGTCTGTACTATGCAGGGTTAGTATTTAGCAACTGTAATGGTCGATGTTGTACGACCTTCTATCTCAGATCTAGCCGAAAATCGCAGTGGAATTCTTACTCCCAATAGGTATAAGAGGTGAGCAGTATCTTAACTTCTCACTATCCCGTCGAACAATCGGTCTAAGCATCATGGGTCGAAGCACCATCAACCTAGAGCCCTATAAGACTGAAATTCTTTCCCTTTACGGAAATGAGACTCCTTTGAATACAATTCTTGAGCATATCAAGGCAAGGCACAATGTCGAAATCAGCAAGCGTACACTTGAGTCTCGACTGAAAGATTGGGGTGTTAGAAGGCAGGACCACACAATCGGCTCTTGCTCTCAACTTCATGCACGGATTCGGGAACTATTCTTTCAGGGTGGACTAGAGGACAAGGAGATACTCCGTGTCCTAGATGACGATGGATTCTCCATCACACCACGAACCCTCAGGAGAATACGAGACCAACTTGGGCTTACGCGCTGCCTACGTGACCCAGTTGAGCAACAAATCCAGGAGGAGCAGATGCGCCAAACGCTTGTACACGAAGCAGAACAAGGACGAATCCAAAGCTTCGGCAAGGAAATCCTTTATCGTCATATGCGTGGCCAGGGCTACAACATTTCTCGGTATTAGAACAACCATCTCTGCATTATTCGTCATTCTTTTACTGACCAGTGCTCACATTAGTGATCGTCTGTATTCTGCTTATCGTTCCGTCCTTTCTAATGCTGTTGAACGTCGCCATCATGCTTTGCAGCGTAGGCGCGGAGAATACATTGTCCCAGGTCCGAACTACATCTGGTCTGTTGATGGATACCTCAAGCTGGAGCCGTTTAGAATTGAGATATACGCAGCAATCAATGCCTACTCCCGCTATATCATATGGATCTACTGTGGCATTACAGCCCGTACAGCAATCAGTGTTTACCAGCAATATCTCAATGCTGTTAGGACCCGGAAGCTACAGCCACGAAGAATCCGTTCAGATTGTGGTAGTGAGACTGGTCTTTTTAAAGAGTCTCATTTCCAGCTCCAGCAAGCTCTGAACCCTTTAATACAAGCAGATGAGTGTTGGATATCAGGCCGAAGCACTGAGAATCAACGGATAGAGTCATTTTGGGGAAAGCTTCATGAGTCAGTGATTTGGAAATGGCGGGTGAGCCTCTCGATGACGAGCTTCTCTATACCATACTAAAGTTCATAGACATGTTTTCACTCTTACAAAGAAGAAGGAATCTTTACAAAGCGCTCTACACCTGATCTGATGGCACTGTACAGTATCTATATGCCTATACTCCGCGCGGAGGTACATGGATTCATTCAAACCTGGAATGTGCATTATATTCGGCGCCAAACAAAGCGTCCAAATGCAGTTGCAGGAAAGCCTTACATGCTCTATCATCATTCCGGTGACGGTGTTTTCGATTTTGGTCTTCCAATTCATGAAGGAAAACTGGATGAGCTGCTGAGGAATACGGAAGGGCTTGGTAGGTGACTCCACCCCCTCAGGATGAATAACGCGTACTGAGATCTATCTAGATCTTGATGAGTATCTACCAACAGCAACTTTACGATGGTGCCAGGCAAGAGTACAGGAAATGGGCTTTGACCCTGAAAATCCACCACCAATCCAGCCTGATGAGGAGGCTTATCCATTTCGTGATTATTATCTGCAGCTTCGTGCCGATATCATATTACATATTCAAATCCAGGCTGAGCCACTTCTCTGCTTAACAAGACGCCCAATGGGCGCTGCAGATTGGACTCCGGAGGCGCAATAGTTTTAGTTGCGGAAGTTGCACAACCTCCCAAATCTGGAAGGTCTGTACAACAGAGGGATACTCGGCGAAGAACCTGTCTTCTGAGCTGGTTAAAAATCTTCATAATGTCATCTTTTTGTCTATATCGATTCTTCCAGTGTCAATCCCACAAAGGAATGCAAAAAATGGAAACTGATTCTTCATTCAGATCAGGTTTATATGCCTGTACTTCCTCCTGCCTGGTTGAATCCTTCTCATACCCCTACACTCCCATCTGCTTGGTTAGATCGTTCTTCCTCGACTTTGTATATCCCGTTGAACGATTCTTTCGCCTCTCGTCTACTTCCCCTAGCTCTGAAAATCATGAAAACCCGGCCTTTCAAGAGGTTCAGGAAGATCCACTATCCACTTTTGTCTTCTCATTTCATCATGCCCTTTGCACAGTGGACACCATTTTGTGGAGTCACGGGCATAGCCCACGACAATTATGAGTGTCCTGACTGCGGTACAACACCGGCCCGACGACCTACAATTGACTTGACGGATTCCCCGCCTGCATCACGCCCAGGAGCAATGTCTGTTCCCACACAGCGATTTCCTTCTTTCCCCCGTCCTGCAGACAACAGAGGATGGCGAGGTGGGAACAGCGGAAGACAGAACCCAATAACTCATCCGACATCGTTCAGAGCTATTGTGGCATTTTACCTGTTGCAAATTGATGTCAGCACTGAGGATGGCCAAATAATCAAGTCCTTAGACCAAATTGGTAAGCTTACCAGCTTCTAGTATTGTCCTATTCAGGGCTGATTGATAGTAGAGCAAGTCCGGCATCGGATTGAAGCGCGCACGATTGCATCCCTTAATGATCTCATTCAAAACGATCTTCTTTCTACCCTTGCCGAGCATAAGTATACACGGGAGGAAGGAGATATCCATCGACTAGCAACTAATGTCACGAAGAAGGTACCAACCTATCTCAGTCGGACGGCAGATAGACGTCAAGCAGTTGAGGATTTGCTTCAGAATTGGTTCGAGTGTCGTACCGTTACTGGTGGGGAGCGAGAATACTATGTTTTTGTCATTATCGAGCGTCATTTGTCTTCGTACAGGGATGATTCGACTATCAAGGAGGAGGATTCTTCTATCAAAAGAGAGCCAGCATCTCCTCGCATCAAAGCTGAGCTATCATCGCCTGTGGAAAAGACAACAACCAGCAAGAGACAGCGAACGAAGCATACGGGTCTAGCAGACCTCAGGGAACAGGATACTCTTACAGATGAGGACCTTTTTGAGGCCCCTTCAATCGAAGAGCTACTGGAGAACCCGAGAGCAGCAAGAGCAGCTTCAATCACTACCGCCACATCTTCTTCAGCGGCCACTGCTCCATCATCTTCCTCTTCTCGGAGCCGTAAACGCTCTGCAGGCTCAATGGCGTCGACTGCTTCAGAGGTCTCTTACCGTACACGAAGGAATCATGTTCTCAATGCAGAAGATGAAGGTCGTATTGCTGAATTTGGGCCCTTCATTGAAAGGAAATAATGTATATTAAGTTAGAAATGCTTTTGATCAGTTCTTAGGAGTTGAAGAATTGACAGCTGTTTCTGTTCTGGGATGAATCAACGAAATCTACGAGTAAGACAACCGCGTAGCACCAACCTACCAACTATCCTCGCATCATCACCAACATGGACACTAATATGACCGAACAAAATACGTAAGTGCTTATACCAAGAATATTGAGGACTCTAGCTAACCTGAGTGATGCACATAGGACCAACACGCACAACTACGCCGCGCTCCTTTTGCGATGACATCAGAATCATGGTTCGACCGTATGCACGAGAACTTGCCTCCTAAACAGCATCCAGGCTTGCCTGCAAGCAGGCCGGAGCTATTGTCCCGTACGCGTATGCCAAAGAAGGACGTACGCTTCTTTCCCTTCCTGGAGTTGATGTGGAATAAGTCGCTCTGTTTAGGATGAGTATTGGCACGCCGTACTAGGGGGAACTGTCCATGTATGACGGGGGATTGATTCATCTGAGGCGCCAATCGACTAACCATGAAGAAGGCAAGGAGCTGCATAATCTAATCAACTTTCCTGATGAGGGCGACGAGGATAATCTGTTAGTGGTCTCTTGTAACCGCCTGAAGATAACCACGTGACCCATCATAGACGTAGGTGTGATGGCGAACCGTAGGTAGACTGGGCCATTGACCCCTTTTCCAATCCTGCGATTTCCAATCTATAGGCTCGCCAACACAATTCAGTTGCACTGTAAAGCACCATAGGCACGTATGACTTTCTTTATTTCCAAAAGCACATCTTGCGTCTCCAGCATCTGCCCTGCCAAGCTATACGGGCTGTTTATGGCAGTGGCACCCGAGCAAAATCTGCGCCTTTGTGTGGCGCTCGGGATGAGTAGTCAAAGCGATCAATGATCTAAACTCAAAATGGCTAATCTACGGGTAAGTTTCTGCCGGCAAAAACTCCAATTTTCGATTGTTGCGGAGTGGACGTAATAGCTTGCCGTACACGTCCCTCCAAACGTAACATTAATTTTTACGTCCCACTGTACTCCGTAACTGGACAGGGTAAGTGGCGGCAACTAGCGTTACGCTTCCCGCCTTCACCTCAAATGGCTAATATTTCATGGCCTCCTGCGACGTTCTCCCAACTTACATCCATTTTCCTCGCCAGACAGGATGGCAGATCACAACACCCAAACCGGTGGCCAACAAGGAGATTCCTTCCGCTCTCCACTGAGAACCTCATATCGGGAAGTGGATTTCACAATTCGTCCATATGACGACGATTTGCAGCCCATTGCTCGCGATGATCATTCCCTCGCGACGTTGCTGGAGGAATTAGAAAAGCACTTAAACGTCTTACGGCAGGGTGGTAGCCTCGCTCTTCATAGGGGCGAAAAATTAATTGGTACACAGCTACTGGAACAAGTGGAGAGACTTTTTACCGATCCTCCAGAGGTAGAAGGGCCACCGATTACATGGGCGAGAATTATACTCTGGGCTGGAGCTTCCCCAGAAAGCGTATGCTCATCGGCGCAGCTTTCTATAGGAGAAAGTCAGATCTCTCTGCGCGAGAAAGAACGTGAGTTCCTCCGTTCTGGCAGGGCATGGAGGTTTCTTTCGCCATGGCCTGAGCCACGTGATAGGGACAAAGAATTGCGAGTCGTGAAAGAGACTCTAGCTGATGTTGAGAAGGTCAAAGATATGGCCAATAAAAGTACGTACAAGCTTTCACTCCATATATGCTTTTTAATATGTGACTGAGAGGGATCAACGGCTAGTTATTACTGAAGCTACCATTCTTCAGCAGTGTCTCTGCGCGCGAAGAGAGCTTCTTTCAAACAGCTCGAACGGCGAAAGATATATCACAACCAAAACTGCTGCAACCACAGGCGTTCCTGCAGTTAGCTCGTACGCCGGCCATAACCAGGAAACCCAGGCTCGTCTCGAGTCTGACATTGTCATGGACCAACCGGTCGGGGGCAGCAATCCGGATATGCAGTCTTCTCATTTTGCAAATTTGGCGGCAAACGAAGTAAGGGGTGGTATAGATCATCACCCGCCAACGGTTTCGACAGACTCTGGCCACGAGCACTTAAGTGGTCTCAATAGTCAATCTCCTCAGGGACAGTCGCTGCACTCAGGTCTAGGGCATACTATTTCTTGCAGCGAAGAGAATGATCAAGATGCAAACAGATTTCCCTCCTTCCCAGCCTGGGGCGCTTCTGGAAATAGATCCAGCCAATCTGGACCGATGATCGCACCACTAAATACACGTACGTGAGCGATTCTCTCTAACTGTAAACCTTAATGCATTAAGCTGATTCAGCAAAAAGCGTCGAGACATGCCCCCGTTGCAAACGACAAAGGCAGTGACTCTACCACACCGGCGCCCAATCAGGACTCATTTGCCGAGGCAACTGACAGAATTTGGATACCTATCTTCATCCGGAGATTAGTGAAGTAAGATAGACAACTAGTGAAGAGATGTTGGACCTCTTCAGATGCTGATCCCCCTTTCTAGAACACTGAATGACACATCTAATGAGAGCATAATACGGTGGTCGGAAGACGGGAATACGGTGATGATTGTGGATGATCAGCAATTTACTGCAAAACTGCTTCCAGCATTCAATACTACTACTTACGCGTCCTTTACTCAACAGCTGTATATGCATGGCTTCCGACGAGTTGATCAAGGATGGGGAAATCCACTGTTCAGGCGCGACAGTCCTGAGAGTATCTGCTTAATCCGAAGAAAGGACAGTAAGTCCCAACCGCCATCTTCGTTGAATGCGAGAATTCTGTCACCCGCGACCGTCGCGAATCAACAGGTCCAAAACCTTGCGAGCGTGCCAGAACGGCCAGCAGTCCACGGAAATAAACGGCCGGCTATAAGTGACGAACAGCTTCCAAGCGAAGCGAACGACGTCCCAAGCCGAAATTCGTCCTGTGGCGTCAGGTATAAGATTATTCGAAGAAAGGGGAGAAAGAGGGGAAGGAAGACATAAATTCTCATAGTCCGCCTCTTGCGCCACGAAACCAACAATAGGGTGGTACAGTGACTTATTGAGGGCAGTCTATACGCAAACGAGATTGGTTTCATATCGGCTCTGTGGACCAGTAGAGCACTCTTCTGTAGCGTATTTCGGCTTCACTAGCTTTTTACATTGCCCGCAACTGTGGGCTGTCCGCCAAGGTTTTCGTCGCTGAGCATAGGAAGCGGTTCAGTATATTACTCGCTAGCTCTGGCGTATATGAGTCCTCCTTACGTTACCTAACTCCCTCTTTTTCGGTCCTGAGCTTTCTGGTAACGAAACGTCCCGGCGAGTAGCCTGCACTGTACCTAAGGAGATAACTTATTTCGAGCATGATGCGACGTGTTACAGCCCCGTACCGCTTTCGGCCGCCCCCTCATTTGGGTTTAGCCGCCCTCCAGAACCGCTCCCTTCCGGTTTAGCGTGTCCAGATCTGGGTTAGTGTTTTACACTATTCCCGAATTTGAACTGCCGTCCGCGACCGCCAGCCTTGTAGCCGGCCGAACTATATAAACATCGAGTGCGTCGCTCAACGACAACTTCTCGTATCTTTCTTCGCTACAACATCCTTTTCGGCCCCCTTTCGCGATGCATCGGTCATGTCCGACTCCTTAGCTGACTGTGGTTTCCACACCCTCATCTGAGCCGAAAACTTTTCTTGTCACACGACCCAAGGTCTCCACCGACCGGCATGATTGAAGTTTTCTAACTGGCCGTCCCAGACTCCAGACATCCAATCTCGGCGCTCAACGCGCCTTGGATAAAAAGATGCTACATGAGCAATATGTCTGCCTAAATTATGACACAGGCATGAGGGAGATGAAGAAAAAGAAAGTCTACAGCTGTCGCGGACCAACTCAACACGGTAATACTGTGATTCCCGTTCCCAGGTGGTTTGGAGTCTCTCCCATTTACTTCTTGCTTCCACTCGTTTGTTTCTTTCTCTGTTCTGGTTGCCTGTTTGCCGGTGTTTTGTCCCTCTACAGGTTGAACGTGGACTGGAGGAACTAAGGGAGTTCCTTGGTTTTCTGTCAAGCCTGCCATTTCGCGGATGGGCATTCCGACAGTTGTTTCTAAATCAGGACCCCAAGGCACGTGTCTATCTTGGTGCACATATCGTGGCCAATCACAAAAATGCCTCAGTTGCATCTGATCACTACAACCGGCCTGGTGCCGCTGGCACACGGATGCGAGCGCTGCCTCCCTTCAGATCGTGACCACCAACAGGCCACCGATCGAGATTTCTACCAGGGTGATGACGCGGCACTGCCTCAGACGATATTCACTGGCTGAAATTGCACCGCACAGCATGGCTGTGGGACCCTTGGTTCCAAACAAGTCCGTTGGGGCCGCATGACCGGATTGCAGGACCTGTGCTGGAAGGGGTCATTGGCGAGCGGCTGTCGGGTATTCCGGTATGACTGGTCACTAGTGTCTGGATTTGCCTTTAGAATAGGTAATTAAGGAGATTACCGACCGCATTCCCTGGAACAAGACACTCCTCTTGCAGCCCGGGCGCTTCGAGACTGAAGGTTGAATGGATCTCCTACAGTCCTCCTATAAAGCTGGTCCTTGGTTCCCCTACTTTGGGAAGGTACTTTTTATTCAATTACTACAGTTGATTGTACCGCTATCACACTATCCATCCCTCCATCATGACCCTGCAACCACCGCGAAGAGTTTTGATTGATCTTGACAATATCGAGTTCTACCGGCCCCCACCCTCAAAACCGTTGCAGCCGGAACCGTCTTCTGCGACAGTGAACGTCCTATTTCCGGCCTGTTCTACCGCTTCCTGTAACCTTATCCGCTCCGACTTCGCGTGAAATCGCTCCTGGAAACGATAGAACACCGTCTCCTACCGCTCCCCAGGATCAAAATTCTGAAACTGCTCCTGCGCGGCCGAATGTGTTCGATATCGAGATAGCCAAGTTCGCGAAGCCGACGCCGCCGGAGATGAGCTCTCAGACACAGAGCGCCCTTGCACAGGAGGGAGCCGGCGATAGCTGTTTGGTTTCTGATACTGTCACTCCCTGTATGTTGCACCCTTCCAGTATTGCGTTGGTAGATGCTTTTAATAATGTTCAAATTTCAGCCCCAATTATGACTCCCTTCACCTCGGGAGAGGAGACCGATCTAGCCAGCCCCTTCGAAGGTACAACGATCCGGCCAAGCATTGAAATCCCTACGGAGCCCAAGAGTGTTGTGTCCACTCCAAGCACTCCTCTCTCGAAAGAGCAAGTTCGTCACTCAGGTAAGCGCTTATTACAATGCGCACACTTTCCTGTTGTTGTACATCTTTTCTGATCCGTTTGTGCAGCTCTGCGCCCTGCTCACAGTGATATTAACAACCACAGCCCTATCCTTGATGCTTTCGAAAATGTTATCTCCGATGATGCTCATGTCTCCACAAAGGCCTCGGAACTTGGAATACAGCCTTCCATCTCACAGGAAGACCCCGGCATAGACGACCCGGCCCATTCGGATGCAAATTTCCTGCGTCATATCGACTGCGAGACGGACTGTTACGAGAGCCCTCCAAGATTTACGCCGCAGCACGATGTAACCGACATTACCATCCAAGAGCAAGGCCTTGAAAGCGATCAGGGCGATGTTGAGAGATCAAATGCTCTAAATGATCGCCTAGGTGGCGGTTTGTGGCCGTCCGAGCAGAACGTCGTAGGCTCAGATCGTCATATGAGTGTAGTGGCTCCCAGTCAAGTGGCGCAGCTTACAGCTAGTCGTGAACGTCTGCCCACGATCGCTGTGGTGGTCCCGCCACCACCTCGACGGAAATCATTTGCGGTGGCCCAATCACGAATTTCAAAGTCTAAAAGCCAACAACCCCGCAATTGCGATGACTCTCAAGATGAGAACGTCACTCAGTACAACCGCCAACCTGGTATGTCAGAATCCGGGGAGTGTCAACATCGCTCAAAGAGAAGAAGGGTCGTGACCCGATCCGTGATAGAGGCAAGAGACCGCGCACGTTCTGGGTATTGCCGAAAATTTCTAAGTAGCTCAACACGGAGGTCGACGCCTCTGTCATCGGCAGGTCGCTGTAACACTCGAGATATTTTCGGGCGAACCATCCTTACGATTGAGTCTCACGGGTCAGAGGAATTTTATTTCTTCTCGTTCATCCCAACTGCGCCCAATCAGGTTGACATACCGTCATTACAATCCGCTCCCCACGAGAAGCTGGGCCGCCCTGTGGGCCTTTCGCGTACACTTCCTGCTAGCAACTCCAGTAAATCTGGGGAGAGGCGGCCTTACTCGCCTGCGGAGGACGCTCTCTTGGTTAGACTGAGAGAGAAAGATAATATGGATTGGGGCCAAATTGCCCCCCATCAATTTTGCCAATTTCGTCATTCACCTCAATATTCACCCCCCGAGCTTCAACCTCATCTTCCAGCCTATCTCCAACGCCATATTGGGCCTCATCTTCGTCAAATTCTGGCGTATTTTGGGTTGGAATTTCGATGTCATCTATTTCAGGAAGTTCATTTAGTTCTACTGGCGGCTTTGGTATATCGACGATTCGTATAGCCTCAGCATGAAACGGTTTATTCGGGTCGAAAACGATATCTTCATCAAAAGTGACATCTCTCTCATCGGTAATCGTCTGTTGCAACAGATTCCATATCTTCCAGATGTTGGATGCCGTGTATCCAACAAGATAGCCTACCCAGGCTCGCGGGTCAAGCTTCTTGGAGAGTGGAATCTTTGGCTCTCGTACATATGCTCTACAACCATACACCCGTAGATTTGCTAGTGATAGCTTCTTGCCATATAGCTTCTCATACGGTGTGATCCAGATCCAGCGGCCTTTTCCTTGGTTGCTTCCATCATCTAGGTATTCACAACGAGGCCTACGGTTGTGCAGATAGACTGCAGCTTCAAAGATTTCCGGCCAAAGCATCTAAGGCAATTGTGCGCCTATTCGCATGCTCCGGGCCATGATGATGATCGTTTCACCAGCTCTTTCGATACGGCCATTCTGTTGCTTCACATAATGTGATGAATGCAAGATTTCAGTGCCTTTCTGCTTCAGTGTTCTCTTGTACTCATCTCCAAGTGTTTGCTCTTGATCCGAGAACATCTTCTTTGGTATGACGCCGAATTGGGTGTGCACCCATGCCAAAAATTGTTCGATAATACTGTTCAGTTAGTTCTTCTTTGGATGGGTATAGATAACATGCCATCCAGTTGCTTCGCATACAAAATGCATAATCCATTTATCGCCATTGTGTGCCATCAGAAGCGGAATCAGATCAAAATGCACAATTTCAAATGGTTTAGTTGCCTTCTCCCTAGGCGTCCATGATATCTTCTATGCAGCCTTCGCTAGTCTGCATGTTTCGCATGAATTTCGTTTGCATTCAATCACTTTAGCGCCTGTAGAGACTTCTCCAAGGTGCATTACGGCCTCATCTCCCAGGTGTGCAAGCCGTTTATGCCATCGTTCAGCTGATTCTGCCGATATATGCGGTTTCTCAGAATATCTATTCATCGCAAAGATAGCAGAATCCTTCGGCAATGGGTTATACTCAACGACTTCCTGGATGCAAAGCTCACGAGTGCGACATATCGGTCTGCCATCTCGATCCTCCAAAACATTCGCTCGCTGGTTCAGATAATAGCCATGCTTTTTCATCTGAAAAGTTGAGAGGATATTTGTATGACAGTCCAGTATATAAGCCACTCCATGCAGTTCCAGAATATGTTTCTGATTGTCCATTCCAATAGCAAACACCTCAACTGTTCCATATCCAAGGATTGGCACTTCGGAAGCACCAAAATGAGCATACTGGTCGTCAACTAGTTCGTACGTTAAGAACCTATTTCGATCATTGCAGATATGCAAATCAGCTCCAGAATCGACTATCCAGCTATCTCGCAGCTCATACGATCGCTCTCCCATGCCAGCATATACTGCGGCATTGCTGCGGAATATGCTCATCACTGTTCGGGTAGATGTTTTGCCATTGTTTCTGCTATTCTGATTGGCACGTTCAACTGCGCTATCCATTGCTGCTCGCAGTTTCGGGTGGTTCTGCCTAAGGCGTTGAAATTTCGCTTCAATATCCGCATTCGGCTTCCAATCACGCGGCCGGATCGATTCGATGAGGTATGGGCATTGTTCGAATGTGTGCTTTTCTCCGCACGGGCAGTCGCTTCTGTGTCGCGGCTTTGATTCTCGATTCTGATTGGTCGAGCCAGTATTTCGTTGATCAGAGGATTGACCTTTGAATGTCGCAAAGATTGCATTCTGTTCTTTCTGGCTCTTTGATTCCCATCGTTTTCGATAATCATTGATCTCGTCAAACACATCGATCGAGTGATCCTTCTTCAATTCGTTTAGTCGGATCTCGGCATACATTGGTTCTATCTTACGCAGCGCCATCAAGAAGTTCTGCGTTCCAAGATAGCCGGTATATTGATCCATCTTCAATCACACACATGCTGAAATGACATCTTCCCATTCTCTTAGCCATTTCTCCATGTTCTGACTTGCTGGCTTCGATCCTAGCTTGCTGTATCTCTCCTGGATACGCAGCATACGATCTTCAACTGAAGATTTCAGTTTATCTCGGAGCTTCCGATAGATATCCACTTCATTATCATTTTCATCTGTAAGTCGCTGCAGATGCTTGCGGGCTACCGTCTGACTAATCGCTTGCCAGATAGCCGCTAGACCTGCTTGTTTCAATCGGTATTGTTCTTTTTCTTTCTTGTACAGCTCCAGTTGCTGCTTATATAGCATCATCTGTGCGGTAGATGGCTCCGTTAATGCGTTCTCTCGCGACTGCTGAGCCTCCTGATTGGCTACAGCTTCATCTCGTCGGTTTCCAATCGCCTGGCCCTCGCCTTGGGCTTGACAATTGGTTGGCGCACCTGTCGGGTAGGCGGGCCGAATCGGTTCAGTCGGGTAGGGTTCCTTTCCGAGGAGTATATTCAGCACTCCGCGGCTTCGTGCGAGTCCGATGATATAAGGGTCCCAATTCCACCAGTCATCTGCTTCATTCAGCATGATTGGGACCTTCACGGTGGAAGTGGCTGACATCGGCATTGCGTAATATTCCATGTTGCTCAAAGGGTGACGGCAGAACAGCTTCACACTTTCCAGATTAGGCAATCGGTCTAATCGAATTCAAATCAGTCGAGAAGGGTGCTTTATCTCATCCAGTCAAGAGATAAGGCTCAGTCAAATCAGTCGAATCGGTCAGATCGGTCAAATCGGTCAAGTCAATCAATCAGTTCGAAGAGATGCCAATCACAGAAAGTGCGAACTATGACAATCGATATCCCGAGCGTCCTCAAGGGCAGCCCGGGCTCATAACTGTCAAAATCCGCAATACCGATGTGAGATCGGAATACGCTAGCAATCTATATGTAGGCTTAGAATTCATTGAAGGTCTTGATCTTCTCAAACGAGTGACTATCTAGGCCATATATATACTGTAAATGTGGCAAAAAAATGAGGCATTTTTCTTCCATAGAATCTTCCATCCACGTCGTCCTCCAGCTGATCAGTATCTTTGAATAGTATCAAGTACGAGATGGATATTTCGATGGCATTCTAGACATTCTTAATTTGGTTAGTGGTAATTTATATCAACACATTTCTAACTTCTGCTCCATTAATGGCAAAGTAAATTAGTCACACAGTTTAGTACTCGGAAAATGCGTATGGGGAATGTTGACCTGGAGACTTTATTGGGTAGCAAGGTTTATTGCTAGAGCGGGTTATGTGTGCTGTCTGATTACCTAGGCTTTCTTCGTCTGCTTGTAGTAGACAGCAGGATACATTTGATGTATATCAAACCTTCTGAAGGATTCTTCACTGTGAGTGATGACCTAGACCAGTAGTCAGCAACAACGATACGAACATTAAGCTGCTTCCACTTGCATAAAATTCGTTTGAAAGCTTGCTCTCCCACTGGCCATTCCATTTCACAGAGATATGTCCAATATGAGCCTTGTCTGGCTCGGAAGGCACTTGCTTGCCAATACCCCAGATAATCAGCATCTTGAGTACATTAGCCTACGTCTTACCATGATGTCGACCTTCAAGAGGGGCTCAGCTCACCCTTGCCGGATCTGTGGCGTCGCATTGTTCGATAAATTTGAGCTTCTTCTTAGTTGCGTCCCATAGATCGAGTTGCGCCAGGAGATCTTCCCGCTGACCGACGCTGTAATCATCGGTTGCGACCGGATGCTCCTTCGCAAATGGGTACTCCTGCCCCACTGCTAGGTCTTGCTTGACTCGGTGTCCAGCCCAGTTGCTACAGAGAAACTTCTCCTCATGATCTGTTTTTGTCTGATGGTACATAAAGCCCCAGTCAGTCGGAAGTCCGTTCGGAAAATATGATTGAATTGCTTTTCTGTCTTCGTCATGTGCTCCAAGTTGGATGGGCGCCGCCAGCACCTTATCACTAGATCAAAAATCAGCGGTTAGTGAAAAGAGAGTTTGCTCTAGGATGTAGATTCTAACTCATGAGGGTTCCCGACATGGCTCATGTTTAGGTGTATTTTGTTGTTGGAGATAGAACTTCCAAAGTAGCAGTGGTGAAGAACATCACATCAAGGGTGACGCAGAGGGCCTTTTAAAAGGCGGTTGATACGAGTCGGTCGCTAGTGCTGTCTAATGTTAGACCCTTGTCCGCCGAGAAGTCCGCATTCCAGGATACCTTAATCATTGCGTCATGCCAGAGGTAAACTCTTGGACAACGACTGGAGGTAATCTTGGGCCAGGTTGAACTTTTGCACCCCAACTGTAGCTCTTGTTTTTTTCAAACCCCAACAGCATTCAGGGATCTTTGCAGGAGCCTGGACGAGGCCGTTACATGCAAGGACGCTGTCCTGACGCCGTGGCGCAGAGCCAGACCGTTCCAGGCTGAGCTTAAAACCATACTAGGGAACAAGCTTTCAGATTGCTGGGCTGACATACTGACTATTAGCCAGCTGAAATGATAGGAGCATGTGACACTCACCGACCGCTGAATTGATGACGATCAATGGCGGACCACGACACCTCCTGGCAGACACAGCTCAGAAGAAGAGGTGCGCAAGGCGTATTTCACCTTGATGGTTATGCGATAACACGAAGCTTATAAATATCTCAGACTCCTAGTCTGATGTGCTTGTAGCTTCGAGGATGTCCTTGAAATTACAGCTTCATTCTGTCTGCTCACACTTAGCCCAGAGGCATTCAGACCAAATTCTCTACCTTGGTTCGGGAACTGGAACGTCGACATCATGAGTAATGGAAGCGCAGTTATCAGTGAGCATCTGGATGCTGTCGACTGGTTGGGAAGGACCGTTGACTTTACAGACGCCGGTTGGTATAGCATGAGTCCTTGCATCGGACAGGACTAACGAAAACCTAGTGAATCAATTCCATATCAGAAGTATTCTTCGCAGCAGGCCATCGCGCAAGGCCGTCACATTTGAACAGGACAATTTAACACAATCAGTTAACATTCTTGTCGATAATGAAATGGTCATCAGGCATTTCGAATGTCCCAGTAATGTCCCTCTCACACATGAGCCGATCACTGAGAATGAACTCTAGACATTCAACTCCGGCTCGAAAGCGGAAGACTTCATGGAGGCGGATGCCAAAGGGTCATGCTCCTATGGGGCATTGAGTGTCTCTGGCAGCACACCAAGTACACAACTCGCAAGACGTTCCAAGAAGATCACAATTATGGGTTCTTTAGTTGGAATCAAAATTGTTACCACGCCAACATTGACGGGCCGGACAACTCTGAGATCAAAACTAAGGTCATGCAATTACCTGCATAGAATCCTTCAGACAGTGAGGTCGTGACGACATACAAAGATTTCTTCACTTCTTAGGGCTCCCATGTGATTGTTGACATGGAGCTTGGATAGCGCTACCAACTCAAGATCGAGTGCGACAAAAGCGATGACGAAGTTTCGAATAGCTTCAGGGCCTGCGTAGAGGTCGCCTACAGCATTAACACCCGTAACCCCTATCTTCGCGCCTAACTGATCTAAACACCCCGAGAGGCGCCTAGCCTAGTGGTCTTCCTCATCGAATAAGCCCTGCAAGCGAGCCGCAGCGGTACGCAGGTCAGGGGTCGCCACCCATATCGCTAACCCGGAATGTGTCTGGTAAGCCCCGGAACTGGCCCAGGAGCCCTGTAGCAATCATGAAGCGAGCAGCGCGTTGTACTGACCCAGGCTCGCGAAGCAGACGAGCATAGTCAGTCTCCCGTGGGTGCTGCCAAACCGTGCGAAACCGGAGCCCTGCGTAGGGCGGGCAGGCGATCAGCACATGCCGAGCGTCTTGGCGGCCTAAGCCGCAAGCGCAGCCATCTACCAAAACACGACTAGACTTAGACGCAAAACTACGTTTTCTTAGACTCAAAATTAAACAATTAATAGAACAGCCATTCATTAAGCAGTACTCTATATTTTAAATCATTTTTTCATCTGATTGTGGTGTAGAAGCGTGTTCAAGTTGACGACTTTTTTTCAGTCTGATTTTCTCGGACGCGGGATCAGCCAATCAGAATTCTGCGGATGCCCGTGAAACCAAGCCTTTTATAGAAAAGGCCCTACCCCATCTGGAATAGTTTATGGGAACCAGAACGCATCACCCTTCTGACACTGAACCCCTGAATACATGAACTATTTGTGTTACGTGTTACTTAACTTTAAGAATTACTTCACCCTGAGGCCCTCACACTTGTGGTTATGGTCAATTGCCCTCCGGAATTAGATGAAGACATCACCATACCATCTCATCCTGCAAAACATACAAGGCGTGTAGCGGGCAGGGCCCGCAGAGTGCTCGAGCCCGCCTATCGGGCACTCGCGAGATCATGTACATCACGAACTTTCTCAGTCACGTGACATTGTTTACCGTGCGTGCGTCGATATCTGTTCAGCCGCCGTGTCCTTAGTTAGAAGGCCCTTAGCGAGTTCTTACAGTCCAAACCTATTGTATAGGTTGAATTTGAGAGAATCAGGAAGCGCAAAGTGTCCAATTAGGATGGCTCAGGGGCCAACTATATATAGGCTGACTAAGTCGGGACGCTAAACCTAAACGGGACGGAATCCTGACAGAATTGGCTTCTAGCCCGTGACAATAGAACTTGCTCAACCATACAGCTACATTGGAACACCGGAAACTGACAAATTGTATGGACTGGAACGGAATTGATTACACTGTGTTGTGATATGAAGCTCTGGAAAACATTAAATCAATGACGCGTTCATTAGACTCAATTAGTCATTGATTCAGACGCTAGACGCTGTATATAAAAAGGCTTCAAGTTCCTTATCTAGGAAAATGAGAATCAATGAAGTAATCTTCCTCTGAATAACAACACCTAGAAGTAATGCTAGATTGCATTTTAACCCCCCTTTTCTCTGCGCACTTTCTCTTTAAATGAGAATGTGTGCTTTATCTCGCTTTGCTCGTATATTCTTCATTCATGCCCAAAAAGTTTTTGCCAAAGTAATGTATACATTATTGAAGACCAATCTTAATATGACTTGATGAATCTATGCAGACGAGGAGCACAGCCCGTCAACGACCCTATAAATCTCTCTGACATAGCTTCGGTGTTGTCATTACCCAGAGTGCCGCTACCAGACATGTTGTTCATCACGTAGCCGATAGTCATGCGTCGGTCACGGTCCATGATGATCATTGATCCTCCCCAGCCTCCCCAGAAGCCAATTCGTCCCTCAGGAATCCAGGCACAAGTTTGCGGTGCTGGCAGAGCTACACCAAGACCAAATCGCAGAAAATCAAAGGTGACAATATCCGTTCCCTTAATCTGCTCCGTGAGCATTTTCTCAACGGTACTCGCTGAGATGATTCGTTTGTTCTCATCGAGAATGCCATCCAGAGAGACTATAGACCCAATTCGGGCCAATGCGCGCGCATTGGAAAATCCATTGTTCGCACCGGACACGGTTTTTCTGGAACCCGGAGTCATAGAAGCCTCAGCGGGAAAAGGCGAGCCCGCGATCGCCTTTGCCGTAATACTTTGCGGATCCAGCTCGCTGAACGGGAGCGCTGGAGGTGAGATGACATCCGCTGTGCGTGACCAATGCTCTTCTGGTACTCCGTACTGAAAATCAGCTCCCAAGGGACCTGTGATTTCGTCGGCCACAAACTGTTCAAGCGGCTTGCCAGTTATACGTCGAATGATTTCACCGACAAGGTGACCTTGATTTGTGAGATGGTATCCGCTGCTCTCACCCGGAATCCACCAGGGGGCCTGAGCAGCAAGCTTCTCGGTAGCCTTTTTCGTGTCATATATTTCTTCTAGGGTCATAGGAAGCTCTCATGCGGGGACCCCAGAAGAGTGACTGAGAATGTGAGACACTTTAATATTCTCTTTGCCGTTGGCTCCAAACTCCGGCCAATACGTGGCCACCTTCTCATTCACATCAAGCAAACCACGATCGACAAGAATGAGAGCTGCTAGGTTGGTGACAACCTTGGAGCACGACCAAACCACTGTGATCGTGTCTTTGTGCCAAGGCCGAGTCCGGGCCACATCTGCGTGGCCACATAACACATTTACAGTATATATATGGCCTAGATAGTCACTCGTTTGAGAAGATCAAGACCTTCAATGAATTCTAAGCCTACATATAGATTGCTAGCGTATTCCGATCTCACATCGGTATTGCGGATTTTGACAGTCATGTGGTACCCACATGACCCCCGTGGTTCGCTACATACAGCATGTATCAGAAAACTTATACCACTATACTGAAATAATGTCATGACAGTCACTCTTTCAGGGTAATAGTATTTCAGTATCTCCTATACTTTGACAGCATGTATTTTCTTAGGTCTAGTACCCTGAGATATCAGTAAGTCTGAAAAAAGAAAAATGATGTTCAAACAGAAGACCATTAGCTTCTTCTAGCATTTATGTACCTCGAATTTCACATGCTGAAAATCAACAATGACACATCCCTGCTAGCATTGAAGCCTTTAAGCAGCAAGTTCATTCGTCCTGTGACCGAGAGGACTGGATGGTAGCTGCTCTTCTCAACAAAATCATGTCAATCTTAGCTCCCAAGGTTCCTATGGGTAAGCATTGTTTGGACAATGCATGAATATTAGTGTAACCATACATTGAATGCGCGAGATAGCGGCAAGACCCTACACAAGCCGGCGTTCCCGTTGTGGACAGATGAGGGTTTAGGAGTTCCAGAGCTTCTATAAGGAGCTAAACATGTAGTCGGCAGGCACAGTTACTACCTAACTAATCTCACATGATTATGCACTGCCTCGGCATATATAGATTCATGCTTTCTTTATATGCTTCTGGTGATGTCATGCTTTCAAAGACTAGAAAGAGAAGTTAGCTAAAAGATAAGGCCCTAGTAACTATTACAAGGATTCAATAGTAACAGAGCTCAAGTCAACTCACATTCCCTTTTAGCTTGTTTACTCTCGGCCGTGTCGTGCCACAGCCTTAACAGCCATGTAGCAACCAGTGCATCCCTCAACTCCTGCGGCATAATCCTCATAACAGATAATTTATATCTGTCATCCTCTTTTTCTTCAACAGCCACCTGTCTGCCATTGGAATCGCTCCACCTATAGCAATTGCGACCGACTTTCCAATTTGGGTGGATATCAAACAATAGGAGTTGTTGTGTGCCCTCGTCGAATAATGGCTTATCGGAGGCGGTTTTTTTCGCGCTTAACATCGCTGTAAAGGACGTCCTTTGAAACCGTGCCTCAGAAGTCTCAAGGCGAATATTGCCCACCATCTCAGGCACCACAGAAGTGATGTAATACCTAGCAGGTATATCGGTCCGGTATTGCGCATTTACAGGGTGTGCGAGGTAGAAAAGATGTCGCTTACGCGGTGTGCCAGCAGTGACGCCCTTGATCTCGATCTCGAGCTCAGGTACATCGTGCTCGACTCTTCCGAATGCCACAGACGAGTCCTTGTTCGAGATTGACCTGATGTCACTGTTTAATTGGTAAAGTGGGGTTGAAGTTGCAGCCTCAGCGAGGACAGATTGACCTGACAAAAAGAGGACGGCGGGCTCAAGGATGTCCTTTGAGGGTTTTCCCCCTGTTTTCTCATATGATTCAGAGTCCGAATCCATTGTCTTGGGCATTGAGTTCGGTCCGGATCTCCGATCTCTCAATATTCCTAGCAATCCAGTATGTGATTATCCGACGATGAATGCGCAAGGTAGGTTCAACAATAGATATAGAGAGTAGTAAGTAGTATGGTTTGTGGTTTCAGTTGTCATAGGCCGTAGTAGAGTGTGCCGGGGATAGACCGCCCGAGGTCGGGACCCGGGACCTCACCTGGGTTGCCCAGGTGGGCAATAACATTAGTTACATAAGCAGTCGTTTTGGCCCCGCCCATACCTATTCCGTTATCGTCACGTGGTGTCAGGCTCACCTGCCTTAACAGCCCATGGGTATGAAAGACAATTGTATGAGGCATTTTTTCTCTCTCCTCATATGAGGATTCTCTGCGAGTCACGAGTTAATTACGCCAAGCCGGGGATATTTAATCTCAGCTTTGAGTGGAGCTGTTCGGCGGGTGTGGCTGTGGGCCCCGGGCCCTCGCTAAGCAGATGCAAATGAAGGTTCGACCGCCCCTGGGGCCGCCATCTTAGTACCCGATCCTTTGCCAGGAGGTCCCCAACCCCCCGGGCCCAAAGAATCGGATTATTATTGTATTGTAGGAAGTAATTAAAAATGGCTGGCAGTCTAATAACACCTTAGTTACCTAGTTATTCAAAATATTGGATTCAGATTTTAACCAGAAGCCTGCGTGGCCTACGCGGTTGGAAGACTTCGTATCTACGGTATCTATGGTAGATGATGAGGTTCGTTGTTGTGCCTGTATCGGCTGCTTATTGAATGACTGTGAAGAGTCAAAAACTCGAATGACAGAGCCGGCTCTCTGCCGGCTAGGAGAATCCCTCCTGCCCCTTATATCCCTATTTTGTCATGCTCTAGGAGAGCTGCTGACAACGTTGTCTCGAGAGTCGTGATTGTGCAAAGAAGATGGCTTTAGAGGAGAGGAACGGGTAGGCAAATTCGATTCAAACGACGACGGATGAAGCGGGGGAGGGAGGGGGATGTATCCAAACTATACAGGAGAGAAATTGTCAGTGAAATCAAATCAAGGAGAAGAGGGAAGAAATGATACGTGTTCGGACTCTCGATCTTGGACATCATCCAGCCGCATTTGAGCTAGACTCTTCTTCCCTTTTGCCCGGCGATCTGCGTCTTTATCTGGTAGTAATGACTGCAGGTCGAATGCCTCCTCAAAAAGAATGCCCTGCAAATGCTTAACTCGAGAGACAGCGACGTATCGGATTCCTGGTGCGAAATCCCGCTCCGAAATATCTAGAACAGCTCGAGATACAGTAATTCCCTGAGACTTATGGACTGTGATAGCATATGCTATCATTAAGGGAAACTGTAAGCGCCTGCAGGCAACCATACCGTGTTGGAAATCACGTTGGGCAGGAATGATGGGAACTACTGGCTTCCCATCTAGTATCTGGAACGGCTCGCCGGGATAGTGATCAAAATGAACCAATATGGCATTCGGGGGCTCCTTCCTGGCATCACTCCCTGCTGCCCAGATAATGTCGAGTACTGTGCCAAACGCACCATTGACGAGGCCTGCTTCTGTCCAGAGATTTTATGTGAGCATAACCCTGCAGCCAATAGAGAGCTCTATCTGTTGGGATAGTCCTCCGGCCTCATCTATGGGTCATTCTTCGACGGCGATTGTATCCGGGCCTCCTGCGTTTTCCTTTTTGAAGCGGTCTTGATAATTAACACATATAATGGCATACCAAGGAATTTGGACAAACTGTTTTATGGCTTTCTCGACGACCTATGCACGTCACTATCCGATTCCCACGTTTTGAACGAAAATTATTGACTGGTAGAGTCTTTAAGCAGTTAATGCACTACTGCTGCGGGGAAACCTCATTCATCTTGTAGAGAATGATGCGTTTGCATGGAATCAGAGGTTGAGTGAAAGTATGAGAGGGAAGGTTAGAAGTTCAAGAGTCGTAGCTATTCAGAAACCCTACAAAGAAGCCCTATATTCACGTGTTTTGTGTTTTTGTGGACCAATTGGAGCTCGCAAATTGCTCCGAAAACTGACCAATGAGTGTTGAGCTTTGCCCTTGGGGGATTTTACTATAGGGTTGCTCAGCTTCGCTTCGCAATCAAAATTCAAAACCGCTCATCTCACAGTGAAAAGCACCAAGTCATCAACCAAGATACAACACCAGAACTAGTGAACTACAGAGAATGTGTATGTGTGTTCGTGTTTCGTAACATCCGATTATATGACCATAACAAGGACTTTATTTATGTTACGAGCTAGAAGCCAATTGAACCTATATGATGTGACGATGTCAAGAGTCCCTATGAGCCTCTATGGAATGAATGAATGAATGAATTATTCCTCCGGCTGTGCGCAGCCTAAGACTGCATGTAGCCTCCGAGCTGATTATGCTGAGTCATCTATCTATGCATGTGACATGCCTTTTCTTAGTTCTCATGGTTCAATCGCCCTGCTGCCATAGCAAATTGTATCACTGTTCTAACCACCTCCATGTTCGGTCTCTAATTCTTTTCCTGGTTGAGTTCTTCTCCTGTGGGTTTCTTTCTCCTTGATCGGCCTCCTAATGCGTATGACATGTCCCCGTATCGATTGCCCATTGCCACTCTCATTTCCCCATGGTATGTTTCCTATTGTTTACATTCGAACAGAAAATGCTGTACTGTTTCTTGCCCCTCTGTGCATTCATAGGTTTCATCAGCTGCTTGTCCAATTCGACATAGGTATTAATTCAATTGAGTGTGGCCTATTCGGAGCTGTGCCAAGGTTGATGCTTGTGTCCTGCTGAGCTAATCATACAAGGTCCTAGTATGTCATCCTGGAAGGGACGCATCGATCTCTCTTGTGTACTTACCAAAAGGATTTTGTAGAAACTGCTCCTTTCGTGCCTGATTAAGTGTATTCCACATTTGCCTCCACGCAGTGGATCTTGCGCGTTGGGTAGCCCAAGCTGGTGGATCCGGCTGAGCTCCCTTCTGGGTGGCGTAGTGGCTTGCTACCTTAGCCATTTAAAGTCCTTGGTTCTGTAAATCATTTGCTATCCCATCTGATTGTGAGTTGGATCTCAATCTGCATCATCTGCTTGATTTGTCTTATGATTTGCTGTATGACTTGCTGTCCTCTGTGGGATCCTTGGTTAGTGATACACTGTAGGCTAGATTGGTTAGTTGAATAGATTATGATACCTATGATGTCCGTCAAGGTTGGGGGTCCTTGAAGCAGTTCCCTTGCCAGCTGGAGTGCTTCCAGGATAGCGCCAAGTTTGTCACGGGCTAGAGTGTCCCTTACGGATCTTGTACCACTAGCCTCCCTTACGGTCGCGATGGAACGAAGTGGAATTGCTAAAGAGAGAAAACTAGATACAGGCTGTCGTCGTGCTAAGGTGACACGGCGGCGGACTAACAGGGAACCACGTGACCACAGCCGCATACACAATGCGGTGCGTGTCATGGGGTCAACCCATGACAAAGTTGGGCAATGTGTAGGTCTATGTGATGGTCTGTCTCCACTGTTGTGGAGGTAGATTTCATAATTTGATCCCCGGTCACCACTGCCAGACTAATTCTAATCAGATTATTCCGTGCTGATCCGTAGGTGTAGATCTTGATCTTTGGTCTTTCAAAGGTGGTTTCTGTGTTTTCTGTTCCTTCATGGCATATAACCTTTTGCTAGTCTAACTCCCATGGGGCAGAATGGTATGGTCTGATTGTCTCCATGCGACTTTGTTCAAGCGGCAGTATCCGAGAGAGTGATCCAAATGGTGATCTAGACTGCTGGTTGATGTTCTTTATACACTTGGCTAGTGGGTGAGTGCTTGGTAGGCTGTGGCATCCAATCCAGTGGCGGAAAATCCGCTTCTGAAAACAGATATCTAGGGCCCCAGAGACACTAGGGGTTGGGTGGCTCGCGGTCGCCTGTGGCAAAGCCTTAACAAGCCCGGTCGATTCCATACCATCTTCCACCAGTCGGACCCCGGCTACTTCGTCAGGAACTGAGTGGTGATTTAACCCTTCCCTAATGGCAGAACCCCGACCAAAAAGTTCCGCTGCGAAGCTTTCCCTTCTACATCTCCAGAGTTCGCACCTTAAGCCAGCCGCAAGGGCGCAACATCATGGGTGATACCGCGCCAGGATAGTCCCCTGGGGACCTGAGTACGAATCAGGCACGATGCTTTCCCTCTCTAAGCTAACCGACATGCGCATCCGTCCTCTCGAGCCACCATAGAGTCTCCGCAGGCCTATCTAGGAGGCGTGCTAGCAATACCACACAGCTGCGGTCCAAGTACAAATTAGAAGCATATATGCCGGCGATACCACACAGCTGTGGCCCAGGTACGAACTAGGAGCACACATTCCTAGCACCCTCTGGTCACTCATCTGGCGCTACAGCCCACTGCCTCTAAGAGACAGTTTCCCGTTACTAACTGAGGTCTCCCTCGGCTAGCCGACCATATCTTACAGAAGCCTCCAACAGTAGCATCCTGCCGGCATGCTCCCTATTATATCCAGGCCCCCACTAACCTAGCTCAGTTCTAGCCATATGCTTCATTGCTTAGAGGCGGTGCACTGTGTCTGACAGGCAGATGGGGTCTCCATCAGCAGTTTAGTCACGGTGTAGGCCTTGCCCTTAACACATCCGGCAACTGCTTGCATTATCAGTCTTAACAACTTCCATTACATCCAAGTGAAGCACTTAGGCCTTCTTCCTTCCCTCACCGAAGCACTCTGTGGCATAGACCTGTGATATGCCTTGTAGCCTGCCTCAACCTCAGAGCTGGCTGAACTCAAGGGTGCCCTGTCACTCCGCCAGAACAGCTTCGTGTCGGGTGGTTTTCATATCCCAGTATCCCTCTAGCGATCTAATAGCTTTTTGTCGAAAGAAATCTGGAAATAGTAGTGTTAGATAGATGGTAATGACGCTATTCGCTTTCTTCTCCTGCCCGGCCTCCATGGCCACAGCGAACCAGATCCGGCAGTACTGGATGGGCCGCAACAGCAACTATTGGAATGCGGGCGAGTGCAGCAGCTTCTCTGCGCTCCACCATGCTTCGCGCCACGGTCTCGAGCGGGCGGTTATTCGGCTTCTCGACAGCGGCGCCTACGGCGTCAACGAGCTGACGAGCATGGGCTCTACACCTGTGATCCACGCTGCCGCGGGTGGGCACGTGCTCACGGCCCGAAGCCTACTAGCCCGCGGCGCTAATCCGTATCTGCGCAATTGGTACGGCGATGACAAAGCGGCCATAGTTTGCGAGTTGGTTCGCTGGGGTATGGACCCCAACGGCGACAGCTATCTCGCCTGCGCGCTGGACGGCGACTCAGCCGGCGCCTTCGCGGCCCTCGTTGAGCTCGGCGCTGACATTGCGGCCCAAAGCGCGTTTAAGACCCACGACCATCTCTTTATTACAGCGGCACTTTGGGGCTGCGATGAGATTCTCGCACTGATGCTGAAGCAGGGCTGGGTCGACATTGAGTTAAGAAACGCCGAGGGGCGCACAGCATTGCACTGCGCTGCTGCAGCTGCCAATCTGACGTCAGTGAGAATACTTCTTGGGGCCGGGGCGGATATCGGTGCAATGGATGATGGGGGACGTACAGCTCTGGAATTTGCAGAGGGCAATAAGAGTATAACGCGCCTGTTGCTAGACTCAGGGGCCACGCCTATCCCACAGGGGTTGGATGATTGGACGTTGAGTCATATTAAGGTTAATAATCTGATTAGTTGGAGGTTTTAGGGTTTGATATCTAGTTATATTAGAATATTAATATCTAGTTTAATTAGGTTCTATAAGTATATAAGCTTATGTGGGTGTTGGTAAAGGCGTCTCCAATCAACTATTCGATGCAAGGCGGTGCTGATTCAGGATATGCTTTGGAGTATCCAGCTCACACCAGAATGTCAGCGGATGGCCCGATGAATGATCCATAGACCTTCATGGAGTTGCATTTATCAGGTACCATATGGATTGCCGGAAGCCCTAGGAAAGCTAGGACTCCTCTGCTCTTCGATCCACCGACTTGCTTCTCGTGCTGTGGGTTGTATTATGTGACGTTATCGCTGACGTTGAGAGATCTATCACATCGACCGTCTATCTCTGATTCTTCATGCATCCAGTATCCCTGTATCCCTGTTCATAATTAGTGCGCCACTAGTCCTTACATTCATGGATGTAGCAGATCAAGGACCACCAGAGAAGTAGGAGAGGGTTGGGACTATTGAAGCATCATGGTAGAATTCTGGAGGAAGCTCGTTGTTGGCTTCGCAATAGGGGAGAGTGTATTCCCAGTTTCCTGGGTAGAAAAACAATATACGGACCCACTACTGGCGTGCTTTCAAAACAACCGACATGGGGTTTATAAGCCTGGAGTTCCCCCCTCATAATCATGCTGTCATCCGTCAAGGTATTCAGATGCGCTCATCTGTATTTATCTCAATCCTTTCTATCTCTCCTCTAAACAGCATCTCAGCCACCAAAGGCACAAAGCCAGTGTCTTTGTGACCTTCTGGAAACGTTCCCTGAACAACCTTAGCTACTACAACCATGGCTGACTCCACGCCAAATATATTTGATGACGACAAACAGCTACTCTCCATCTTACGCCCGCACAAGAAATGGAAGCAATTGAGGCAAAGCTGGGTTACGTATCCTTGAAGCCATTGCTTGAGAGCCCCGCAATAAAAAAGTTCGTGGATATAGGCTCCACTGCTACACCGCAGAGCTGACTGGCAGCCTTTCCCAATGTGATGGAACACCAGGCCCAGCCCTTCGAGCTGGCTGATCCAAACCGCGCGGGGCATTAACATTCGATCAAGCCATATCCGGTGGAATCCCCACTATCGAACCTTGGAATATGTTCAACCTGCAACGTGCCGCCGCCGCCGCATAGCTGGTAGACAGAAGCAGTTAGTAAGGAGCTTGCCACAGCGGGGCTGCCCCAAGAACTGGTGGATGAGATCCTTCAGGGTACAGACGGTTGGCTAATGGGAAAGTTGGAAGCGAGGAAACATTGAGAGCAACTGATAAAAGAGCACCACTGGAATAACCTGACACGCCTCGGTGCTATGGCCCACCCTGGGTTCCATTTGTCAGAGTGAACTGCCAACCTGAATACTTCGGACATCATGATCATTGCGCCTGATTGCTTTGCTGACGATTACCTGCATGTCAGACCGCTGAGGTAGACGTCGCTGAATAGCTGAATACGCCAGGACGTGTACCTATGGTGGAGGATTATTGCGTATTGTTCTGGGCTGTCCACTAAGGATATACACTGAGTATAACTGAATGCGTGTGTCAAACTGGGCGTCCGCGCCAGGGACATCAGCTTCGAGCGGTCCCGTGGTGTTTTGATTATGCAGATAAGACTGTAAACTCTCTATTCGGACCCGAGAGGAGCGCATTAATCTCACTAGATCCTAATCTCACAGATGCAGACATGGTCCTAACTACATCCTCCCTTCCTGCTTTGCTAAGCCTGGTACTGTCTCTCCTTTTATCCACCTCATCCACTGTCCAATGGCATTTAATCAGTCCACAATCTTCAAAGTAGCATTCCGACGCGCACTCCAAATCTCGTCACCCGTCTTTAGCGGGTTCGCACCATCCTCCGCAATAACCAGATGCTCGCTGCCATCCTCCGTCTTAATTGTCCTGAGCCGTGCCGCTGGAGTGCTGTAGCCCGGATCAAGCTCAAGCCCACGGCCAGCAATGCTCCTCTTGCCGTCGACGAAGTTGCCAGTCGGGTCCAGGAAGAATTCGCCGCCGTCGTTCGTGCAGGACGGGTTGTCCTCACAGTAGGAACTAGGACTATGATTTAGCAAAGCTTTTGCATGAAGAAGGGGAGGCGGGTTAGAAACGTACGCTCCCTTCCAGTTCTCAATGGTGATGCCAAACTTGTCGCCGTTGTTTATGGTGCCGTAGAAGGCGCTAAGCTGGCCACCCTCGCCTACGGTATTATGCATTAGTGGACTGGACTTGCGGCTGTCCCGGAAAAGAGTGGACATACTGCTGTTCTCCGTCGAATCGACGCACCGCAGGCGTGCTCCCGACCCACCCTCCTGCGTACTAGCAAAAGGGAACTCGTCGCAGGAGTTGCCGAAGCTCGAGTACGACAGGCTAGTGTCGCTGCAGGGGCTTCTGCTGCACCCGGACGCCCGTCTCCGGGGGGCACGATTGGACGTATCCGAGTCGTAGGTAAATTGCTGGCCTGCGCCGCCCCGGCACTGTGCGTAGAAACAGTAGTTCTGGCATGTTCCAAGGGCGTTGGTGCAGTCCCAGTCGAATGTCGCTGCGTTGACGGTCGAGGCCAAGGCCGTAAGGGCAACGGAGACAAATACACGCATGGCTAGGGCTTTGGAGTCATGAGTGGCTTTTTGCTTGATATTAGAAAGTGCCTTTGGTTGAAGATGAGGATAGCCTGCTCAAGGGAGCGGTTTATATACTTTTCTGGCCATTGTCTATGCCTAGGTATGTGAACTGGTGTGTTGTGATCAAGGTGCATACGGCCCCCAAAGTGATCCTTGGAGTTCACGTCGAGAGCTGGCAAGGCATCTTGCATTGCTCTTCCCATACCATGCTTGATGCTCGTGCTGTAAGCACTAGATCTGCGGAGTTTTCGTCATCGCGTGGCATTGCACTTAGACGATAGCCCCCAAGCAGGCTACAGCCGCAGGGAATGAAGCAGACTACCAGTCTATCACAGATACTATAGGCTTGCTGGTCTCTGGGCCTACAGGCTGACTGGACTACGTCCAAGACAACAAGGAAACTACAGCTTGTTTTCCAGTTCGTCTAAGACATACTAGATTGGAACAGGAAGGAGATATGCCGGCAGAGCTCGGCCATTGACTCGTCCAACAGTACATTTGGATGCTCTCAAACACTCTCTCTTTATGGAGAGGCAAGGGGCGCTATTCGGAGCACGTTCTATATTCCAGCCTTAGATAGGAGCGTTATAGGGTTACAGCTGTTCGCTTTGTGGCCCGCCTCCCACACCACCACCCACCAGCCAGGTGCCTTTTGTGCCTTTCCCTTTGTTGGTGCGCTCTTAGCTTGCGTTGGGGGCAGGATTGGCTACCCTCCCGATCTCAGGTACCCTGGACTTCTGCTTGGGATAAAACAGGAAGAGGCAACATGTTGCGTAAGGATATAGCAAAATAGCCGGTTCAGCCAATGACTGTATATAGCATGGCATGAGGTATGTTTTAGCTCGGCCATCAGCCTTATCCTTCGCCCCATAACTGGAACCGCTAATGCAGCTCCATCACGGCCCAAGGCTGTGTGATTATCGATCGGCAGGCAACAACCGGTTTGTTCAAGTGACGTAGGCTGACAGTGTCTTACCACCCCCGCAGCACCTCCAAGTCATTCCACCTAGCACCTCCATCCTCCCTCCCAACTCTAGAATCAACAACAGACATCACAAGGTGCAAGTCACTCACAATGAGCCTTATTCCCATCATCTGCACCCATGAGGTGTCACCTACTGTGCAGAACCCTCTCAGACCCTGGGTGGAAGCTCATCTTAACTGACAGTGATAGGTTATCACATCTGTCCTATCGACAGCATACGAGGCTTCAAGCAAAATCGATTCGCCTCCGAGCCTTATCCTTGTTATGACAGCCAACGCGGCCGAACTCCAGAAGTACACAAAAGACTCTGTCACCAAGCCGCCGGTTGAGTCCCTCCAGTATCCTTTCCTTGGCTGGGACATAGGCAAGATCGCCCAGTTCCTACAGGAGAACGCATCGAAGACTGTAGTAGATCATACTACGTTTCTTGTCGCCGATGAGAAAACAACCTCGGATGAGGATACCCTGCTCCTTGTTTACAATATTGAAGATTCGCAGGAGAGTATACGGCTGTCTGCTGGCTATGCCAACAGTCAGGCGGTGTCGGTCTCGGTTGCAACCACGGATGTGGGCGAGTTGCGGAGCCTGGCGGATGATGATGGGGTGTACAGAGGGGGTCCGCAACGCCCGCCGCCAAAAAAGGGTGGGAAGGCGCCCAGGAAGCAGCTGTAAATATGAAGTGAACAATACTGCTATAGCTGCAGAAGGACTCAGGCTAGCTATGGATCAATGTAACCGCCCAACAACTGTGGCGGATTCACCACCGACCACAGCCCCGAGACTCAATTACCTATTAACAGGGACCATATCAGCCATTCCATAACATCATCACCACTAGTAATAGTGCCAGGTGATGGCCCATCTCTTACTCCAGTTAATTTCCAAGTCTCTGTTATTGTCTAAAACCAGTCTGTGAACTCAACAATTGACATTTAAGGGGATCTGACCGTGGCAGCACTATTATCCAAGAGGTCACTTGCAGGAAAATGTGGCTAGTGGCTTGAAGACCATGCAACAGTTGGGCAATATAGCCAAGAGTAACTTGTGAACTCTTGCTATAAGAATGGTGTAGATTCTGCTGACTTTTTTGAATCTCACGCGTCGCTATCTATTTACTTTCCAATTATGTATGATGTATTCCGTTAAGACTATGAATACTGGGTGATATCATACTTCTCTACTGGCGGTCTGCTGTTAAGCTCTCTATTATTTTTACTCAGAGTAAAAAAAATTTTATAATATTACTAGTTTAGGCGTTAATACTTACCATGATTTTCCCCTATGGCGTATTTCCTGTAGCCCATTTTCACAACTTAGTGCAGCACTTGGCCTGTCACAATCCATATCATCTCCCTGTTCCCCTAATCCATGTTTTTAAAAAGACAGCCCATGATAACCAGTCAGGACTGTTCTAGGGACCAGGGTTGGCATTGCTGTCTGCTTCCATTTCCATGAAAGTGATTCATTCCTTTTGTCAAAGCAGTTCGCTGTAACTAGTGACTAGCCCAAATCTACTTCGTCTACAAAAGATCTTTAAAAAAATGAAAAGCATATATTATTCGATAAAGTCATCAAGAATCAGCTCAGTTCCACTACTAACAAATTCCCAGTATCCAGACCATCTTCAATCAAAAAAGTCAACTGCAATGTCCAGAACCACATGGTTCGGGGTTCTCATGCTTTTAAGTGTGACAACCTTTTGATTAGGCCACTTGACGATAAGTGGGGCAGTCTCAATAAAAGTCCCACCTAGGTCCGGGGCGTTGACCTGCACAACAGCAAACATAATACCAACGACGAGCCCTGAGGCAAAACTCAAACTTGCGAGGAGCCACTCCCACCATTCAGCGGTAGTTGACTTCCCCTTGTCTTCATTGACCTGGACCAGGGTGATGTTCTCCTTGTCATCGACCTGGAACTGCTGCCAGCTCTTATCCCATGCATCCACGCGGAAGTTGAGGAAAGTCACATCCGCCTTCACATCAAGATAGAAGCACAGCGCCTGTGCCTGGGTATCGATGCAACCCGTCATTGTGGAGACCCACGGGTCATGATCCTTATCAAGGCCAATGTCCTGGGTATTTTGCACCTGGTAGAGGTCAGGCACGGTGAGCTTTGTGATCGCAATCTGGTTGGGCACATCCTCAGGATGCTTGGCTTGACTCTTCATGTTCTCAATCATGGGAGGCATGACAAAGTACTGTAAGAACGGTTTGTTCGAGACAAGGACCATGAAGTCCTGGTCAGAGGCCAGGAGCGGGGTTGAAGTAGGTTTCTCCCTTTCCTTGAGAAACTGTCTGCATCAACACCAGAAGGTTGCTGCGGCCCGGGTTCGTGGTGTCTTGAACAAAGGAAAAGTCAGCCACATAAGGGATCAATGACTTGTATTGTTGGACGTCCTCGTTGGATAGCGAGAAGGAGGCGAGCTTGTACTCTTTGCCGTTCTTAAGGCTTTGTTTCACAACCGTTTTCAGCACTTGTATCAACGCGGCCAGTTCTGCCGCGGGGATGTCGAGTGTAATATCAATAAGAGCTTTCTCACTCTCAAAGTTGATGATCAGATCGCATTAAGTCTGCGTTGGGTCCGGGTGCGGTTCCAACTTGTTCTCAATCTGCATAAGATCTGTTGTCACAACTACCTGCTCTCCATCAGGTATGGTAATTGGCGTGTTGTTCAACAGAATGGTGCCTTTTATTGGCAACAGTATATCAACTTGACGGCCTGAGCCGTCCTTCACTCTAATCTGCAGCGCTTTAAGAACGACGTCGACATGAGCTACTATTTACAGGCCCAAGAACTCCAAAGGTATATCCATCCGGACAGGCATGGCGGGTAACTTTGTAAGCTGTGCATTGAGTCCATCCTGAGAGGCGGCTGCGATTAGATCCCAGCCGTTACTGGTGGTTACTGTTTGAGACATTCTTCGCGACTGGAAGTTATAAAGTTGTGTTTGCTAGAGCAAAAGAAGAAGAGTTATGGTCACAGCAATGCTTAGGCGATGGAGGAGGGCTGTTTAAGTATAATTGCCCACTCAGTGCCGCCATGGTGATGTGCATAAATCAGTTATTAGTAAAATGGGATTTTACATTTTTTCTGCCAGCAATAAGCACCCAACTGTTTTTAGATTTTAATTTCTTGTTAAGGGCTACAGCGGACCATAATACCACCGTACGCAGCCAACACTGATAGTGCGGAGGGTTAGACCTACTAAATCGCATGATACACTGTAGATATCTCCGTAATCGGCTGAGTATTCCGCAGTTCAGCGATTAGTTCTCCTTGCTTAAGCAATATACGGTTATCTTGCTCCCTTCACGCTGATCTTACCAGTTGACCTCAGACCTTAATGGCCGACCTTACATTTCTCTTCCCTTAGGCATATGCGATATATGCCTATTACTTAATATGCTTATAGAAAATTAATATTTTTGTATGAAATATATGGTAATTATCATTATACTAGTCTGTATCTGGAATATCGATTTGATATCTAGGGACAGGAAGGTTAAACATTTATTTTTAAAGTATGGTGGTCAGGCTGGTTTTCCATTACATAATACCCGCTTCAATCCATACTCAGTATGGATTAGTATGGAAGGTTCCATACTAATACCTAATCCATACCCGTCCATATTGCTTGGCGTTATGACCTCCATACTTATCTGCATGTTTGAAGCAAAAAAAAAAAAAAACCTCTCCGCGCCCGCGGAATGACTACTTGAAAAACTGGTCGAGGCAATGTGAGAAACCTTTCAACATCTTTGTTGAAAGGTGCCTGGGGGCTTTTCCAAGAAGAAATACTGAGGTGTGCGGAATTTAGAGGTGTTGTGGTTGGATTATTGACGAGGTGCGTGAAAAAGGGGCTCTCCCAGTTTCACGCGTCGGTCCCCTTCTACCAGCGAAGAGCAACACTCGGCGCATAGCCGATCTGGACGCTGTAGGTTAAGATACCAGTGAGAGTAGGTCCAAGATCGCCAGGATAGTAACAAAGGAGATTGCGCCATCTTTGTGCATGTAGTGGCGAAGGAGAAGGCTGTAGTTTTGAGAGTTCTGGGTTGAAAACTGGGAATGGGATAGCTGTATTGGGCCTCGCTGGTTGGCCCGAAGGCATTACGGTTGGCGGTAAGAAGTAGGAGGCTGCTCTGGTGTTTTCTCTCCTTACTATACTGCTTACTTGCTATTTTTTCTTGCGGCAAGATGAGGCACCATGCTTGCTTAACCCGCATATGGTACATTCATGGCGCCTCTTGCAGCCGTCCCAGAGGCACCCTGTCGTGTTGAACTTATCGCAAGTCTCTGTATCATTATTCGAGGATCTGGTAGACCTTGTATTGCGAGTTCGGGCTGCTGAAGGCTGTGGTGGTGACTTAGCTGGTAGAGTGAGGTTGTGGCGAAGATATTTCTCGCGAAACTGGGCAGTGACTAGGTAACTGTCCGTGGACAGCTCTCCCTTATCCAGTATATATTGGTGGAAGTTGAGAGCCAGCGGGAGTACTGCTTCCGGCCACTGATAGGTCTGAGCGACGTCCAGGATCTGTCTCATAAACATGAGCAAGTTGGGGACGGCCTTAGGGTGCTTGTCGCCAAAGAGGTATCCTATGACTGCCAAGTAGGTAAGGAAGCAGTTGGTCCATATTTGGGGGTTAGGACCCCAGTCCTTAAGTGATGATGCTGCCTTCTTGAAGCCTACTGTGCCTCCTGACTCGGTCATCTTTCTTTGAAGCGTATGAGTTCGGTCGCCTTCAACTTTCTCTTGAAGACACGGGTAAGAAGGGCGGCAGAGACACCCGGGAACATGTTGATGAGTGGTTTTACCTCAGGGGGTGGCTCACGGTTCTCCTCCTGATTATCCTCGTCGACTCGCAGGTCCACACGAGGCCTCCTGCGGCGGAGGTCAATTTCGGCTTCATCCATCTCAAGACGCCTGGTCCTGTCCCTTTGTATCTGTTCTAGCCAACTGGCGCGGTCCGCTGCGCTCATGGTCTCCCAGATATGGGCCGGGGGCCATGCTGAGTCCTGGGGGACAGGCGTAACGGTGCTGGACTGGCTGAAGGACGTCATCTTGAAGGGAGAGAATAAAAAATCGAGTCTTGACTGCGTGAGAGATGACGAGCAACTTGCGGAGGCGAGCGGCTGACTCTCGTGAGGCAGTTGCAGGAGGGAGGAACCCCGCGTGTGTGTGTGTGTGTGTATATTTTACGGCCGTGGCTCGTGACTTGCACGTTTTCCACTATCCCTGATCAGGGCAAAGGCCGCCAGGGGGTGAGCCCTGGGTGTCTCTAACTATTGCTAGTTCTATG